TAAAAGCCCATTTAAATACATCATAAAGGTATTAAAATAGAAAATGACATCATAGTCATGGCTAAAAATAAACAAAAAACCTTCATCAGCCTCATTTTATATTGGCAAATTTCCAATGGAGTTTATTATACTAAAGTTATTGGCAAATTTCCAATGGAATTTATTAATACTAAAGTTATTGGCAAATTTCCAATATACATAATTTAAAACCAGTGTAGATGAGATATTCAAATGAGTTTGAATTACCAACCTTTTACTGCTTTTAAATTATGTTTTGTACTTAAGTAATTGTCTATTAACCATGAAACCCTTGTTTTCCCCCTTTTTTGCACCTTATTCCTTAAAGGTTTGAGCCATAACCCCCCCAAAGCCAATTCTTAGTTTCCAATGGAGTTTATTATACTAAAATTATTGGCAAATTTCCAATGGAATTTATTAATACTAAAGTTATTGGCAAATTTCCAATATACATAATTTAAAACCAGTGTAGCTGAGATATTCAAATGAGTTTGAATTACAACCCCAATAAATTTGCAACCATATAAACACATCACAAAAGTATTAAAAAATTTAAATACATCATAAGGTTATTAAAATAGAAAATGACATCATAGTCATGGCTAAAAATAAACAAAAAAACCTTCATCAGCAACATTTTATATTGGCAAATTTCCAATGAAGTTTATTATACTAAAGTTATATGCAAATTTCCAATGGAATTTATTAACAATAAAGTTGTTGGCAAATTTCCAATATACATAATTTAAAAGCAGTGTAGGTGAGATATTCAAATGAGTTTGAATTACCAACCTTACACTGCTTTTAATTTTAAATTATGTTTTGTACTTAAGTAATTGTCTATTAACCTGGAAACCCTTGTTTTTCCCCCTTTTAGCCCCTTATTCCTTGAAGGTTTGAGCCATAACCCCCCAAAACCAATTCTTACTTTCCAATGGAGTTTAGTATACTAAAATTATTGGCAAATTTCCAATGGAATTTATTAACAATAAAGTTTTCGACAAATTTCCAATATACATAATTTAAAAGCAGTGTAGGTGAGATACTCAAATGAGTTTCAATTACCAACCTTACACTGCTTTTAAATTATGTTTTGTACTTAATTAATTGTCCATTAACCTGGAAACCCTTGTTTTTCCCCCTTTTTTGCCCCTTATTCCTTAACGGTTTGAGCCATAACCCCCCAAAGCCAATTCATACCATCCCTTTGTGGCATGGAAACTTGTGTTATAATTTCAGAGAGATCCATACACCATTCCACAAGTTATTGTCTGAAAACTAGAAAAATGCTTATTTGGGCCCTTTTTTTGGCCCCACATTCCTGTTGGGACCAAAACTCTCAGCATATCAAAGAACCCCCATAATTCAATTTTTAATGAAATAAAACAAAGTTTAATTTTGGACCCTTCGGACCTCAATGTGGATAAATTTAAAAATGAGGCCCAAAATCCAAAAATCTAAATACACGGTTAGATTCAGCATATCAAAGAACCCCATATATTCAATTTTTGTTGAAATCAAACAAAGTGTAATTTTGGACCCCGATTTGGACCAACTTGAGAACTGGGACCATAATAAAAAATCTAAATACATGATTAGATTCAGCATATCAAAGAACCCCAAGAATACATTTTTGATTAAAATCAAAATAAGTTTAATTTTGGACCCTTTGGACCTTAATGTAGACTTATTTGAAAACGGGACCAAAAATTAAGAATCTAAATACACGGTTAGATTCAGCATATCAAAGAACCCCAATATTTCAATTCTTGATGAAATCAAACCATATCATTATTATTTGCTTTTATATATAAATAAAAAATAACCAACTTAAAATGGAAAATTTTTAAGGAAAAAAAAATGAAAAAAAATGAAAAAAAAATCCCCCCCCATTTTTTTGAACCCCCTTATGATTCATCACCCCCAAACTCAATCCCAGCCTTCCTTTGTGGTATGGTACCTTGCAGTACAATTTCGGAGAGATCCATACACTTGAACACAAGTTATTGTCTGGAAACTAGAAAAATGCTTCTTTTTTGGCCCCTTTTTGGCCCCAAATTCCTAAACGTTTAGGGCAATTACCCCCAAAACTCAAACCCAGCTTTCCGTTTGTGATATGGAACCTTGTAGTACAATTTCATAAAGATCCATACACTTACACACAAGTTATTGTCCTGAAACTAGAAAACAATGCTTGTTTTTTGCCCCTAATTCCTAAAATTTTGAGGCAATTACCCCCAAAATCAATCCCAGCCTTTCCTTTGGGGTATGGTACCTTGCAGTACAATTTCAGAGAGATCCATACACTTGAACACAAGTTATTGTCTGGAAACTAGAAAAATGCTTATTTTTGGCCCCTTTTTGGCCCCTTATTCCTAAACGTTTTGGGCAATTACCCCCAAACGTAATTCCAGCTTTCCCTTTGTGATATGGAACCTGGTGGTACAATTTCAGAAAGATCCATACACTTACACACAAGTTATTGTCATGAAACTAGAAAAATGGTTGTTTTTTGCCCCTTTTTTGGCCCCTAATTCCTAAAATTTTTAGGCAATTACCTCCAAAATCAATCCCAGCATTCCCTTTGTAATATGGAACCTTGTGGTACAATGTCAGAGAGATCCATACACTAACACACAAGTTATTGTCTGGAAGTTACAAAAATGCTTATTTTGGGCCCCTTTTTGGCCCCTTATTCCTTAACTGTTGGTACCATAACCCCAAAATCAATCCCAACCTTCCTTTTGTGATATTGAACCTTATGGTAAAATTTCATAGAGATCCATTCACTTAAACTAAAGTTATTGTGCGAAAACCAATGTGTCTTCGGACGACGACGACGACGACGACGACGACGCCAACGTCATACCAATATACGACCGGCGGTCGTATAAAAAGATGGTTATATAAATTAATTATATTGAAGAATAACTGAGGAATTTCCAGTTACCTGAATTAGTCACTAGTTTTGAAAACAATGTAAATATCGGTACAACTGTGTATAATTTATAAATATACTGTCTGTTCAATTTAGTTTTTTGTTGATTTTTTATTGTTTTTTTTGTGTAAAATTATTGTCAAAAGCAGGGGGCTTTGTTGCAACACCCCTGTGTGTTTATGTTTTTAATTGCCACAATTACCTACAAGTTATCCGTAAAAAAAAACCCACTACAAACAGACAAGCTTGGGCAAAAAAAAAACAATAAAAAATCAACAAAAAACTTAATTGAATAGACAGTGTATTTATAGTAGATCTACACGTACTTGCCGACATATTCTGCATGTAAAATATGTGTTATACTTTTAACATATCTTATTATGAAATAAAGAATAATGAAATATATACTTTTATCAGTCATTTGGGAAACCGTGGGCATTCACTTTGATGTCAACTAGTTGATTACACACACGAATATTGCTGTGGCGACTTACCCGATCCACATGGGGTAACTCGCCACCTTTCGTATTTGCACGTTTTCTGTATTCACCGATATGAAATGGCACACCTGCCAGGGGCTTAAAATCATATAATGTAGACGTCGAAGACTTCGCTTGTCATTGATTTGATCACATAGAAGTTATTTTACTTTTTTTACGTAGGCAAAACATTTGGTTCTCATTGAAATAATTGATTTCCATTACACCATGACGTCACAAGTCACAAAAATGGAGGAGCTTTCAGCAAATCATGACCACGGTTGGCTTTTCGGTTGCATGAAGTTTACTACATTATTTCACCACACAGCACTAGAAATCTGAATGTTGCATTTTTAAATAAATACAAACCATATCATTATATTTATGCCATTTTTTATGTGTTTAAGTATATATTTTGTTGAAAAAATATGATATTGGTGCCATCCGATCCCCCTTTTTGCGGGAATATCTGAGACTGTGCACGTGAAGTTAGATTAAAAATTGTAAGATTTTATTTTCATAGCTTGCCATAAATCTTATTTTAGACATGTGCTTACACTGTTTTTGTATTTTGACACATTTTTCCAAAACTTGGAGTATTAAACTTTCAGTAAACAATCGGAACTACGCCGTTTCAACATACACCTTATCGCTATTTGTCCGCCATTACTGGACATCACATTCCCGTAAAATTTTGACGTCATAATAGAAAATATCTGACGTCACAATGGAAAAGTGATTGTTGTATGGCGTCAAAAGTTCAAGCGGGACAGATTCTCGGGTCAAGCGGGAATAGCGATAAGGTGTATTCTAAGGAGTAAGTATGCGGTTTCAAAATATGCTGAAATGTGGAGCATTTTTCTGTCTTACAATTTTTCCAAAGAATAAAATGCACTAATTAGATCTACCTGTGAAAGTTTCTATTTCAAATATCTTGACTCAAATGAGCTTGATGACGACAAAGACGCGATGACGTAAATGACGGATGTTGTAACATTCAGACGTAATCAACTTTATACAAAGAGAGACAACTTAAATATTATTAAATGACAGATGTAAAAGGTGGCGAGATACCTTATGGCGAGATACCCCTTATGGCGAGTTACCCCACTTTCCGCTATGTTCATACTATATGAAATAACATGCCTCTTTTTTTAGATAAACTGATCATAGATACCAGGATTGAAATTTTAGACGACACTATCATTCATTTCTTCCGAACTATAAAGTTTTATTTCATTTCATGTTACAACTTACAGTAGTGGTCTAACGTTAGAATACTGACAGATGTGAACAATTATATGTTTCTGACTATAGTATTACAATATTTCAAAACAATAAAACAAATAATTTCCACATATCTCTGGATTTTTGTTGTTTTGTAATGACATATAAAATTAGATCTACTTTCGTTTGACTCAATAAACATCCGGTAAGCTCGTGCACTGTGGTGAATTAACCTTTATAGTTAGAAACTGTGGCTTTGACTGTGAATGATGAAATAATTATGACGTCTTACAAGGATAATTATTTGGACTAAGAAAAGTATATTTATATTAAAATAGCGGAAATTCAAAAGGTTAAGCAGATAAGAAAGCTGTACAGAAATCTGTTAAAGAGGGAAAAAGAAAAGACAAAAGAAACCTTGCAATGGAAGACGGATGCATTACCCTGTAAGTACATTCATTGTAAATATGTAAGTAATAAGTACATACCAATACATGAAAATTCAATAGGGGATATATGGACATGCCTTCATATTCATATATAAATATACAAAGCATTACAAAATGCATAGACATTTGCCCGTTTATAAATTTTGAAATTATAAAGAAACTAAGGTTTCAACTCCTTCAGGCAAAGTTGACCTTATAGATGCATTTGGCTATTTGTTTAAGGTATTTTTGTCATATAGCTCTTCAACTGTTTCGGTACTTATACATGATCCTCGGATTTCAAATGTTTGGCTTTGAGCGTTCCTGATGACGGTAAATCCAGAAAAGCGCTTCGGACGCATGAAATTATTAAACGTGTTGTTTTCAATTTTTTACACATACATGTAGACTATGTTGAAAGCATCTATCCCATCATCCCATCGAACTTGAGATAAAGGATACAACAGATACAGTTAAGTCTGCCTCTTATCTTGACTTGCATCTAGAAATTGACAATGAGGGCCGGTTGAAAACAAAACTTTACGACAAAAGAGATGATTTCAGCTTCCCAATTGTGAACTTTCCATTTCTATGTAGCAACATTCCAGCAGCTCCTGCATACGGAGTATATATCTCCCAGTTGATACGATATTCCAGGGCTTGTTTTGCCTATCGAGATTTCCTTGATAGAGGGTTGCTGCTCACAAGGAAGCTATGAAAATAAGAGTTCCAAGTGGTGAAGTTCGTAAATTTTACGGACGCCATCACGAGTTGTTGACCGTTATGGAATATCCGTTTCACAGATGATAGCGGATATGTTCCAAATATCGTAACTGCAATCCTGTCCCCTTTTCCTCGAATGTGACCTACCGAATTAGAATTATAACCGGGTTTGTACTAACATGAGCAACACGAATGGTGCCACATGTGGTGCAGGATCTACTTACCCTTCCGGAACACCTGAGATCACCCCCCAGTTATTGGTGGGGTTCGTGTTGCTCAGTCTTTAGTTTTCTGTGTTGTGTTTTGTGTACTATTGTTTGTCTTTTTCTTTTTTAGCCATGGCTTTATCAGTTTATTTTCAACTTATGAGTTTGAATGTCCCTTTGGTATTTTTCGCCTCTCTTTTACATCTTTGTGTTAGTTTATGATAAAAGGTGATGTAGTGTATATGACAATATTGAGATGGCAAGCCAACATCAAAACAACCCAAACACGCTTAAGGATCCGTGAAAGAAGAGGCAAAGTTTTTGACATGTTAAAAATTTTCTGACGAGTCTCTACTGATTGATTATTCCGTAAATAACTCGTAACAATCCGTAAGTATTGTAAACCGCTTGTTAACTGATCGCAACAACACGTTACACCCATAAACTGCGTGCAAGAATCCATAAATGACTCGAAACATTTTTTTTAACGACTTGTTACAGTTAGTTTTGGATTTGTTTATGGATTATTTACGGGTTATTACGAGTGCTTACGTGTTGTTTACGATTTCAATTGGGTCGTGTTACGACGACTTTATGGATTGTTCAGAGTTATTATGAACACTTAACGTGTAGTTACGAGTACTTTACGAATATATACGTATAGTTTAGGTATTCTTACATATTGTTTAGGATTTGGGGAAATATATAAAAGCTGCAAAATTGTAAGGACTCGTAATTATTCGTGACTTTCTTATAATAATTTGAAACAACACGAAACAGGTCGAAACTGACACGTAAAAGTTTCGATTTATAGTAGCATTCCGTAATATACTCGTAACAATCGGTAAAAAGCTTGTAAAATGCTCGTAAGTTGATCATAGCGGTCTCACTAATTAGCGACAAGAAGAATTTTAGCGACAAGAAGCGTCATGAAGCGACAAGAACAAAAATATTAGCGACAAGAAGAAAGAAGAAAAAAATAGCGACAAGAAAGTTCATTTACTATTAAAACAATAGGGTTTACTGAAACTAAATCATCTGATTATACTAAGGGTCCATAAAAAAAGAGAAAAATGGCAATTTAAAATTAAAAAAAATGACCCCCCCCCCCCTTTTTTTTAATCCAAACACGCATGTATACCTTTTGATTTTTAACTATGATTAATAATGTAAATATTTGAACTTTTTATCTTGTTTAGACAGAAAAGTTTGTGTCATGTATTTATCTATATATATATATTGACTTTTTGAGACTGAAAATCAAGATTATATTATCTTATAATTTGGTTTGAATCTTTGATATATCAAACCATGCCTACTCTAAATACATATTGATTCATTCATCTATACACTATGCTGTAAACTGTAAATATATTATCTTACAAATATCCTTGGTAATGATAAAAAAATCTTTTCTTTAACAAAGTTTATTCTCAGTTCGTATATTAATGAAAAAACGATTTAATGTATGTTTCAATATTTTTTCATTTAAAATAATCAATATTTTGATTTTGTTTAATCTTAATTTGTTTTCTAGTCACTAAATGATACTTCTTGTCGCTAAATTATTCTTCTTGTCACTAATTTGTTTCTTCTTGTCCCTTCTTGACGCTTCTTGTCGCTAATTAGTGAGACCCAATCATAGTTATCATTGACAACTCGTAACAAATTGTGTAATTTTGCTGTAAATACATCGTTATAATTCGCAATTATCCGTAATAATCCTTAATTTAAATAGCTCTTAACTACTCATAACAACGCTTAAATTGGTCGTAAAAATGTCAAATCGTAAGGATCCGTGAATTTGTGCGATCTGTGATGACTCGTAAGAAAAATCCATGTGTGTGAAGAGGGTATCACTTACTTTCTTTTTAATATTATGTTTCAGGGTATTTGGCTTATTTTTTGCCTTTTTATTTGTATTTGGGGGAGTACTAATATCACATCGACAGACTAATGTAATAAAAGATGACAATACTGATAACAGTGTAGACATGGGCAACATGAGACACAGTGAAGACATGGACAACATGAGACAAGAACTCCAACAATGTAAAGCCAGCATGACACAGATAAAGCAAGATTTCATTAGTTTACAGGACAATTTCACACAAATCCAAGAAAAGATCGAAAACTTTACGAAAGTTATGAATGGTTCTATTAAAAATGCTAGAGATGATTTCCTCCATTTAAAAAGGGACATGAAGATCTTGAATGGAATGCAAGACATCCATGACCACAGATATATAACATATTCTGGTAAGAACAAGTTTCGCTATGCAATATTTTTTACTCAAAACTATTAAAGATATTCTAATATTGTTATAACTCTATGTTTATCTTAGTTGACTACAATTTAGGCAACCAAAAAATACATGCTTGTTTTCTATATTCTTGTACAAAAAATGTAAGGAAGGTATGTAGGTGAAATAAAGTTTTTGGAAAAATATTTTACGGATACTCTTTTAAATGTTCTGAACATTAAAGGTGATTACCAAAAACATAATCCCTAAAATGTGTAAGAGCAGGCATTATTAATGGTTGGTTGCTAAATGGCAAGTGCCAATTATTTCCTGCATATTTATGACAAGAAAAAATTTTCAATTCATACAATAGGTTCTGTTAGGTAGGTTGAAAGCAACGAAGGGAGGGAAATTTTGACTGCTACTGCGTAATGAGGGTATGTTGGATAGGAACAAGAAAATTTGACTTTCAGCAAGCCACTTATGACCCTTCCAAGAGTTGTTGCAACTGTTCTTTAATGTGAAGAGAGTAATATGGCACTCTACCTACACAGCGTCATCCTGTATCAGCCAAAGATAGAACACCCTCTAGAATGGGTTCAATTGCCGGATGGGGGAAGTCCAGGGATGACCATAATTCTAGGGTAGTCATATCAACGTTCTGATTTTGTCTAAACTTTTTTTTAGGGGAGGGGGGGGGGGGGGGGGTATTTCAACTTTCTTGTTTCTTGGGGATTTGATTCGAATTATTATTTGGGGCTTTACTAACAAGAAAAATGAATGCAAAAATGTGACTTTCGTCTGATATTAGAATTTAGAAACCACAATTATGTCATATAAGGAAGCTGTAGCTATAATAATCATCTGTTGTTGTTGTATAAATACCAGGTTCGATTTTTCATTAAAACCCTACACCTTGACACATAACAGTCAAACAGCAATATCTTTTAGCTTTGTGTTGACTTTCTTTTTAGCCCACCCATGCCATGTGAGCGTATGCGATCACCTGTCGTCTGAGTTCGCCCTGCTCACTCTTTAGTTTAGTTTTCTATGTTGTGTTTGTTGATAATTATATTGTGTCTTTTAATCGTTTTACGTTTTTTTGTCTTGGTGGTGCAGTTTGTTTTCGACTTATGAGTTTGAATATCCATTTAGTATCTTTTGCCTATCTTTTGTTGTCCATCGTTAACTTTAAAATTTACAAATATAACACAGCGGTAAAACTGCACTGTTTGGCCCAGATATCTAAACCTAAAGCAGTCATAGTCAACCTGACAAGATAAAATGAGCATTAGAACAAGATCTATCTACCCTTATATTTTAACAAAAAAATCGAATTACCAATTTTAGAGTTATTGATCCTGAATTTAAACTTTTAAGAAAAAAAAATCAGTTTTTTAGGTAGTACCTTGCAAATCATTTGAAGATGAAAAAAAATATATTATAGCAAAAATTACCAGCAAGACAAGATCTATACATGTAAAAAAAATCAACATACTAGTAGTTGAAATATAGGAGTTGGTGCCCTTAAGTGATGATGTTTACCCATGTAACATTGTGTATAATCTTGTAAACTGCAATTGACAGATGGAAACTTTGAACAACAGATAGACATGATCTACAAATAACTCAAGATCCGGCTTTCACCAGGCAATCCCCTTTAGGAGTAATTGGCCTTCAGTGACATATTTAGAAATATTTCAGCAAATGTACAAAAGATAACACCAGTTTAGTGTTATCAATTTCTTTAACAGTTTTTTTTTACCCAGATCCCTGATACTTCACAGAACGATTACATAAATATTGCATCTGCTATTATGAAATTGTTTGATAATGTTTTCCCATTTCCCCAGACTACTGAACTTAGTCTTTTTATAGTTTTATGTTACACATATATTTAAAAGTTTATAATATATTTGAGGCAACAGTAGCTTACCGATGTTCACATAAATTCATTAAGATTTTACAAATTAAGCTAAAACACAAAATTTGAAGGAATTGCATAATCTGCAGAAGAAGTGAGATAGAGTAGGCGTCGCACGCCATGCGAACCTACACTAAAAATGTCACATTCCGGAATAAGACACAATCGGTAAATTTTCAGATCAGACAACTATTCTGATGTCTAAAGATGTAAAACCGCGAAATTATGTCTCTAGTGAGTTGAGACACAGTCACATTGTGTAGGTCAACCAATTCTTTCATGAATATAGACCATTATTCATTGTTTGAAAATCATTATATGTAACCAGTGCATTTGAGTCTTTGGTCTATTTGTTTACTGTGGTAGACAGAAATGTTCAGAAAATAAGATCTTCCACATATTCAACATGTCAGAAATTGATAAAAGATTCGTATTGCCAATTTGTGTTTTGGGATATTTCAAATCAATTCCTTATAGGAGGAATAATTGCAATGTAATGACAATTTTTACTAAATTTTTAGCATTTTTGGTTTTTACCTTGAGAATTATAATGAATAAAAAGAAACTGTAAATAGCTTAAATGATCAGTAAGATAAGATATATACAAATAAGTGAACATAACTGAGGGGATCTTGATCAAACTACCTCACTGTAATAAAGATGATTGCCACTATTACTTATGATTTAAATCTTGCATTTTGATAATAGGTGAGCGCTTAAGACTTGTTGGAGCCAATAGTTTTAGATAGCATGCAAGTAAAAAGACAAAAGTAAAAATGTTTTACCTAATTTATCAAGCTGTTTTTATGCCCCCTTAACAAAGTTGTCTGGGCCATATAGTTTTACCCTTATCCGTCATCCCGCCATTCTCTCATTCCGTCATTCCACAACTAACAGTTATAAGGACTTTTTTCTAAATGTCTTCACATGAGCTGATTTTTAGTATATGAGTCTACTATGATGAGTTAAAGATCGAGTTTACCTTTGGTTCCGCTCCGCTGATTTTTGCCAACATTACGAGTTTTGGACTTTGAACATTTTGTGAAAATAGTAGTTATACAGATTTTTTTCTAAACCCCTCCACATATTGAGCTGATTTTTAGCTCACCTGACCCGAAGTGCCAAGTGAGCTTTTCTCACCACTTGGCGTCTGTCGTCGTCGTTAACTTTTTACATTTTGAACTTCTAGAGAACCACTGAATGGAATGAAACCAAATATGGCATGAATGTTCCTTATGAGGTGCTGACCAAATGTTGTTACTTTGTAGCTGATCTATCATCCAAGATGGCCGCCAGCGGGGGACTTCGTTTAACACAGGACCCTATGGACAATACATACAAAAATATGCTCTTTGGTCGTGTTGTTGTCTCTTTGACATATTCCCCATTTCCATTCTCAATTTTAAATGTCTTCTTTTAAAGAAACACTGAATGGAATGAAACCAAACATGGCATGAATGTTCCTTGTGAGGAGATGAACAAGTGTTGTAACTTTGAAGCCGATCCATAATCCAAAATGGCTGCCAGCGGGTGACTTCGTTTAACATAGGACCCTATGGGAAATACATACAAATGTCTTCTTTTAGAGAACCACTAAATAAAATGAAATAAATCATGGCATGAATGTTCCTTATGAAGTGCTGACCAAGTGTTGTAACTTTTTAGGCGGTCATACATCTTAAGATGGCCGCCAGCGGGGGACTTCATTTAACACAGGACCCTATGGACAATACATACAAATGTCTTCTTTTAGAGAACCACTGAATGGAATGAAACCAAACATGGCCGCCAGAGAGGGACTTAGTTTAGCATAGGACCCTATGGGAAATACATACAAACGTCTTCTTTTAGCATGTTTAGAGAACCACTGAATGGAATGAAATAAACCATTGCATGAATGTTCCTTATGAGGTGCTGACGAAGTGTTGTAACTTTGTAGGCGATCAATCATCCAAGATGGCTGCCAGTGGGGACTTAGTTTAACATAGGACCTAAGGGAAATACACACAAATGTTTTCTTTTAGAGAACCACTAAATGGAATGAAACCAAACTTGGCATGAATGTTCCTAATTAGGTGCTGACCAAGTGTTGTTACTTTGTAGTCAATCAATCTTCCAAGATGGCTGCCAGCGGGGAACTTAGTTTAACAAAGGACCCTTTGGACAATACATATAAAAGTCTTCTTTTAGAGAACCACTGAATGGAATGAAACCAAACATGGCATGAATGTTCCTTTTGAGGTGCTGACCAAGTGTTGTTACTTTGTAGCCAATCAATCTTCCAAGATGGCTGCCAGCGGGGAACTTAGTTTAACAAAGGACTCTATGTGAAATACATACAAAAGTCTTCTTTTGAATAACCACTGAATGGAATGAAACCAAACATGGCATGAATGTTCCTTATGAGGTGCTGACCAAGTGTTGTTACTTTGTAGCAAATCCATCAACCAAGATGGCTGCCAACGGGGGACTTAGTTTAACAAAGGACCCTATTGGAAATATATACAAATGTCTTCTTCTAGAAAACTGCTTAATGGATTGATACCAAACATGGTATGAATGTTTTTTTTAGGTGCTGACCAAGTGTCGTTACTTTGTAGCTGATTTGTCATCCAAGATGGCTGTCAGCAGGTGGAGTAAGTTCAACATACAGTGGCGGATCCAGAACTTTTCATAAGTGGGGGCCCGCTGACTGACCTAAGAAGGGGCCCTATATAATCAACCAAATTTTCCCACAAAAGGGGGGGCCCGGGCCCTCCATGCCCCCCCCCCCTGGATCCGCGTATGACAAAGGACCATATGTGAAATACATACAAATGTTTTCTTCTTGAAAACCACTGAATAGAATAAAACCAAACATGGCATGAATGTTTCTAATGAGGTGCTGACCAAGTGTTGTTACTTTGTAGCCGAACCATCATCCAAGATGGCCGCCAACAGGGGACTTAGTTTAACATAAGACCTTATTGGAAATACATACAAATGCTTCTTCTAGAGGAGCACCGAATGGAATGAAACCAAACATGGCATAAATGTTCCTTATGAGGTGTTGATGAAGACCTTAATACATGTATCTTTAAAGATTGAGATGTACTGTAAACTGCAAAAATATCAAGCATAGAAGATCTACACATAAGTCAACATGAGCAAAATTGTCAATTGACATCTTGTTGGAGTTATTTTCCTTATAAAGTCATTTTCTTCAA